CCAAGTGCCTCTAGTCAGCCATCTTGAAGCCCCTCACTCTGGATGTACAAAATGTTGTCTACACTTTGTGGCTTGTTCTGGGATCTCACACATCTCATCCCATGTACAAAGTGAGGGAAAAAGGGATGGTTGCCCAAGGTTTCTCCCAGCTCTGACAGGCTCAGTATCCGCCGGGCAACACATATCAACCTGTCAAGACAGAGAACGGCAGGTGATGTGTGGAATGTGCCCATGCATGTGAAACCCCTTGGCTTCCTTTACATGCTCCTGGTCTGAAAGATGGAGACCACATGGAGAATGTGTCAGAAAATCCCTCCTTTCACACTCCTCTGACCACACCACAGATGTAGACTTCTCACAGATGAGAAAAAGCTTGGGTGGGAGCTCATTTCTTCTCCCAGTGTGCTTCAACTTCTCTTGCTTAAGGAATTATGGAATGAGAGAGAACATAGGATTTTTAACATTTGCTGACTATCCACTATGTGCAAGCCTGGTATACATAACAGGTAGCATAACCTCCATTCTTGAGTTGAGGAAACTGAGACTGGAGACTAAATCATGTGCCGGAAGACACACAGCTGGTAATTAGTAGACTCAGGACTTGAGCGAGACTGTCCACCTTCAGAGCCCATGGTTTTTCCATGACAGCAGCAATGGACAGGTAGGTCCACAACGACCCCTCACATCTACTCTGTGCTCTCATGGTTGGCACTCAGAGAATGTTAGGCAGTGAGAACCGCTATGGACAGAATGTCTGTGTTCCTCCAAATGTCCTATGTTTAAATTGAATCCCCAGTGCGATGGCGTTTGAAGGTGGGTCCTTTGGGAAGTTGTGATGTCATGAGGGAGAGGGAGCCCTCATGAATGGGATTACTGACCCCAGAAAGACCCCCTCATCCCTTCTGCCAAGTGAGTGTCCAGCAAGAAGACAGCCATCTACAAACCAGGAAGCAGACGGTCACCAGACACCGAACCTACTGCATTCCTGACCTTGGACTCCCGAACAGCCTCCAGTACCCTAGGAAATAAATTTCTTTTGTTTATAAACCACCCAGCCTATGGTATTTTGTTATAGCAGCCTGAACCGATTGCGACAAGAATTGAAACTACTAAGGATCATTTTAGCTGGGAAACGCTTGGGCGACCGGGTTAGCAAGGCTGGCATAGCGCAGGTCAGGAGAAAACGCAGAGTCAAAACAGAGGGGCTCCTCTTCCCTCCTGCAGAGTGACAGAGAGGACGGAAGAGTTCTGCTTTATGACCAGGCATTTTAAATAGCACGCAGATCCTCTGGGAGAGGACGCAGAGCCACGATGTGGGCAGGGGCTCGGGGACTGAGGGGGAAACTGGAATCTGAGTCTCTCTCCTCTGGTGCCAGAGAAATTTTCCAAGGTGGGATTGGAATTGGGATTGTAGTGAATGACCTTGGATCAAGATCCAGGGACTGTGGGAAAACCATAAGAGCCCTAGGCTATGAACATTTTATTTTTTAAATTTTTTAAAAAAGAGATGGGATGTCACTAGATTGCCCAGGCTGGTCTCAAACTCTTGGGCTCAAGTGATCCTCCTGCCTCAGCCTCCCAAAGGGCTGGGATTACAAGGGTGAGCCACTGTGCCTGGCCCAACTATGAACATTTTAACTGATAAATTAGAAAATGTCCAAAACACTTAAAATTTGGTAATGATGATGCCAACAGCCCGCCTCACCCATGCCAGGAGCCTTCGGTCCCCAACCTTTTTGGCGCCAGGGACTGGTTTTGTAGAAGATAATTTTCCAGGATCAGCAGGTGGTGGGGGTAATTTCAGAGTGAAACTTCCACCTCAGATCATCAGGCATTAGATTCTCATAAAAAGGGTGCAACCTAGACCCCCCTCACGCGCAGTTCACAATAGGGCTCGTGCTCCTATGGGAATCTAATGCCACTGCTGACTGGACAGGAGGCAGAGCTCAGGTGATAACGTTGCTTGCCACTCACCTCCTGCTGGGTGACCAGTTCCTAACAGTACCTGTCTGCAGCAAGGGTTGGGGATCCCTGATATGAAGCATCCCCTTTGTGAGAAAACAAGCTTTGGGCCATCGATTCCTGCAGCCAGCTGCTCTGTGCACATGGGATGAGGCGCAGGAGGGAGTCAGGACGGAGACCTCTGGTCCCTGGCACAGCTATTCTCGCAATGGCCATTGGTTGATCTCCCCCAGTCCCTGCCACAGTCCCTCTCTCTGCACCTGCTGGCCTCAGTGTGGAGCCTGAGGAACAGCTCCTCCCTCCCTAGCCACCTTCTGTGCACAGATCAACTCCCATCTCCTCAGAGCTGCTTCCCATCAGTCAACCCACCTCCCTTCTAGTTCAAAAACGATTCAACATTTTTGTTCTTGTACTTTTTTGGCCTGTTACGGATTTTTTGACGTTCAGTGACATTTGGGAAGGACAGATAAAAGTGAGCATTCAGTTTGCATCTCAAGTCATGACCTTTGTTTGCCTCGTAAACAATCTCTGCTTCCATTTCACTGAAGGACGCTGGCCAGGTGGGGCCTCCTTCCCCACAGGTGGCTGTGATGTCAGGTGAGCTGCTCAGCCTCTTCTGGCTTACTTCCTGTCCACACAACAAGGGTCCCGGATGAGATTAGCATCCATCAAACCTGTTCCTGTAATATACCCCTTCTATTAGGTAAAACTGATGGCAGGATTCTGTTTATAAAACAAGCTAAACCGTATTTTCTTTTTCAGAATACGTACTTAAGTGCTGAAGAGTAACTAAAACATTTTTAAATAAAAGGCCCTGAGGAGAGAATGTGATGGGGCCTCTGGAGTCCACAGCTCCCCTCTAGGTGGCCCAGGGTGGCAGTGCTGACTGCCCTGAGAGGAGGTGGGCAAATTGCAGAGACACCAAGGAGCTTCCAAGGAAGGGCTGACGCCTGGCCCTTCCCAGGGGAGATGCAATGGTCTGGAAACTCATCAGATGGATCAACGCTCCTGGGTTCTGGTGGCAAACACACCTCGGAGGGACCTGAAGGTGTGTTTGGATGAGTGACTGGATTGCAACCATGGGCTGGCCTGGAAGATGGGCCCAACAGGTAGCCCAGGATGGAACCCCTCTGGAAGTGCCCGGGCGGGCCGGGTCAGCTGCAGCTGCGGGTGAGCATGCGTGGGACCCCACAGGAGAGGCTGCCAATACCACCAATGTGGAGACAGGACACAGACCTGGAGGATGGAGTGAAGCCCCAGGGTCCTGATGAGACAGGAGGGAAGATAATGTTTTCCTGCTAGAATGGGCAGCTCAGACCTCAGTGTTTGAAGGATTTGACTAGAACTGTGCTTAGGATCAATGAAAAGGGAGGGGCAGGTCACAGCATTTGAGGACAAACTAATTTTTACCTTATTCTAGGATCAAAGTGACTACCAATGCTTTAAAATACAGTATATAGTGTCAGAAAAAGCACACTAGTTTTTTCTTTTAAAGTACGCTAGTTTTTATAATAACAATCGCTGTAGGATCTAGGTAGAGGGTTTATGAGTGTTCACTATAGCTTTTCTGTATGCTTTAAAATTTTCAGGGTAAAATGCCTAGATGTGGTCAAATAACATTTTATATTGTAGTTGAGCATTTGAGGAACCCCTGGACAATTGTTGGGAAGCCTTCAGGTTCACGCAGCTTGAAAGCTACTGGGCCCCTCCTGGGCCCTTTGAGCTAGAAAATCTCTTAACTTCCTAGGAGGCTCCCCAGGCTTAGCCCAGGAGGCCTGCAGCTGAGGTGTCTGAGAAGCTGGTATTTTACACTGACTGTCATATGTCGCCTCAAAGCCATTTGCATCAGTAGGGCTGCACCTGTACTCAGTTTTATCATAAAAATGGGTCATTTGCAATTGCCTTTTAAAGGTGAAAACACATGCAAAATATATTTTAAAAATCCAACAGGCTTGTGCCAAGCAGCCAGTGGATTTGTTGTGCCCTGTCCGAGACAAGCACTTTGATAAAAGGCCTAGCTGCAACGGTGCGGAATTAGAGTTGGGAGCATTACTGCCCTTTCTTCGTTCTGCCTTTCAGGGCAGCCGTCCTCAAACACGGGGTGGGCAGAAGCGGCGTGCTTACTGTCAGCCCTGCCCGCTGCAAGGCAAAGAACTGTATGCCCTACTAATTTGGGGGAGCGCTGGATTTAACAGCATTGTGATACTTCTCAGACTGTTAAACACACAGGTGTGCACTGCCAGTCTCCCAGGGATGGACACCATTTTGGTCCCCAAATGCTCTACAGAAGACTTTTAGGGGAGGGACTATGCTCTAGGACTAGTGCTTTAAGAAGCTAAAAATCAACCAAGCACCGTGGCTCATGCCTGGGATCCCACGGCTTCTGGAAGCGGAGGATCGCGTGCGCCTAGAGGTTTGAGGCTGCAATGAGCTGAGTGAAAGCTGGGTGACGGAACAACACCCTGTCTCTACAAACAAACAAAAATAGGAAGCAAAGTAGAAAATCCTTCTTTGAAAACATGATTTCAATTAGTGACACGTCTCAAATACAGCTTATTTGAGAGACTGGGGTGGGAGAATCGCTTGAGGTATTTTGAGACCAGCCTGGGCAACATAGTAAGACCCCCATCTCTAACAATAAAATAAAATAGAAAATAAATTACTAAAATGCAGTTTAACTGCAGCAAATACACCCTTCAGTGGCATCTGTGAGAGAAGTATTATTTCTGACCAAGCAGAGCTGTGTTTTAAAATGAAGGCTCCTCCCACCTATGAAAAACACCCCCAGCTCCAGGTAAACTAACAGTATCAACTGTACATTATCTTAGCAATGCTTCTGTCTTCCTACCCACCAGGGACAATTGTCTCCATAGCCTGTATCTTACCCTTTCACGTAACATCGAGTTTCCGGCTCTTCGGAGACTGGGCGCATCCTCCACCCTCCCCACCCTGCTGGACCAAGGATCAGCCGTATGCCCTTCCTCATTAGAACCTTCATCTCCATCCTCTTTCCCACTCCCCCACAAAACAATCAAAGCACATGCCCAAATTCACTTTTATTTTGCACACATAGGAAACAGGATCCTATCAAAAGAGAACAAAAAAGAGAAATGAGCTAATTGTTACAGAGGAAAAGCATGCACAGATCTGCTTCAAGTTTACTCTGAACCACGGACGTGCCGGGAATTCCACACGCCAGGAGCTGTCTCACTCCAGGAAGTGGACGCGACCCACCACCCACACAATGGAAACAAGAATAGCAAGGAAATGTCGCTGAAGTGGGACTTCCATATGCAGGATCAGCGTTCACAGTAGCACAATTCTAACTAGGTTCAAGGGAAAACAAAATCCGTCTCACACAAACATGGGAATATAAAATTGTGGCGCCCTAGCCTTCACTCAGTCTCTTAACATCATTTGCTATCAAAAAGATAAATGAAATTGAGTCACAGACCTTTGGGTGCCTATTCAGCTGGACCCGATTCCAGGGGCAGCTTAGTGTGCTTTTCCGTTACAAAAAATAAAGGGAGAAACTGACATGAAAAATGCAAAACAAATGAGCTGGAGGAAGAGGAGTGTTTGGACCCACGCAGTTGTCTTGGTTGTAAACAATGAGCTTGTGCTTTGCTGTCTCATTTAGATGGAGGCCTGCAGCATGGGAGGTCCCGCCCTGGCGGCCAGTGGTCACACCAGGGTGGGTCAGAGACAGAGGTGGCAGCATCTGTGCTTTCAACTGCATTCCCAGGGTGTCTGTTTTGTTTCCAAGTATTTCCCGTGGAATTCCCCAGGAGGTTCTCTGATTCTATGTCCTCAGAGTGAAAAGCACGGACAACAAATGACTCCGTAGCCACTTCCGTGAGAGGTCTTGATGCTCCAATTCAACGAGTAATGATTTCTCAAGAGGCTCTGATTAGTTCACTAAAAAATAAGCACCCCTACCTCATTCCCCATGATACAGCACATCTAGTAATCTAGGAGGCTCAGCTAAGTGGCATTGCTCGTCAGCACACAGGACAGGTCAGGACTCACACATCATCACTACAACTATGCAGCAGGACAGAGCTAGATTCCCGCTAGCCATCAACTACTCAGGAGACTATCTGTGAGACCCTGGGGTGAGCTGCGATTCCTCTCCAGGAATGTGCATCACATATCTTCTTTATTCTAATTTTGACATGGTCAATGCAGTTGAGTCAGTACTTCTCTCTTTTCCCAGCAAGCTCCTCCTCCTTGGAGCGCAGCATACATGCGCTCAGACCCAACAGAACCATCATGCACTACGGTCAGCATGGCTGGCCATGCCCTGCTGACACCTCAGCCGGTCTCTCTTCCAGGAAGGGCCATGTGACTTCCCAGTCAGATGTGCCCCCTGCTTTCAAACTGCCCTTCAGAACCCACCATTGGAGCTGCTGGAGGGAAGGGGACCCCCGGGCCTGAGAACACCCTGGAGAGGCAGTGACGTCGGAGGGAAGACACATGCCCAGTCCGATCTCAAGGACAGGACACTCTACATGCACTTCCATAAACACACTGAAGAAACGGGTAACAGTGCTTTCTCTAAGTCAGACCCAAGAGCTCACAGAATGCAATGTCTCAGTTCAGGGCAGGAAGTGATTTCCCATGAATTTAAATAACTTTCCTTAGTGAATTTCAGATCACCGTCAGACCTCCAATGCAGGCCTGATTCTAGGCAACATCCTGCGGTGAGAGCGGCATGCGCTGCTCTTCCCTGGCGGTGCAGGAGAAGCCTGTCTTTAGGAAGCGAACAGAGACAGAAACGTGACAAGGGGCTTGCTCTCTCCTGATTGTCGCTCCAACAGCTTCTGGAAGAGGACGGCTGACGGGAGGACAGGCTGGAGAAGGTCGCTGGCCTCAGCTCAGCCGGCTGCTGCTTCATTGGCTGAGCCACCCGGCGTGGGGCTTCCTGCTAATACCCGGCCGAAGGCTGCTTGCCCAGGATGCCTGGCCCGGCCCCTCCACACACCACCTGCACCTCCAGCACTGCCTTCTTCCTCTCAGTCTCTCTCCCGAAGATCTGGTCACACCACCGTAAGGACGTCAGCCCTCGGGGACTGTCACCACACTGCCACGTGAGAGCACAGACTTTGTCAGAAACAGAAGCGACAGAGGAGACACAGTGTGAGTTCACAGATTGTCCTCCATGGAAAGCCTGAAAGAGAGCTGTGCTTGCTGTGAGGATATCAGAGGAACTGCTCTTGGCGGCCCATGAGACCATTCCTGGACACGAACATCCACGGGGACAGAAAGGCCGGGGAAAGGCCCTCTCCCGTCTCTCGTCTCTCGTCTCACACGAGGGCGCCCCGCTACTTGGCCTTCACTACCTGTTCGTACGGGGGTGGAGGCGTGTTGCAGTAGGCAGGAGGGGGCGGGCAGGCCACACTCCCCTGGGGTGAGTTGGGTGGGACCTGGAAAGCCATTGCCATGGAATTCCCAACAGGGTTCATCCCCGGTCCTCCTGGGTCGGTGTAATAGGGCGGCCCCGGCTGCTGGGCTCCTGAAAGACAGATGAACATAGGTGAGGACAGAAGAGAAAGTCCCATCACATCCGGAGTACGTGCAGGCTGCAGGGCCAGCAGGTCACGCCCCGTCATTCACTCAGTGACAGTGTATGAGGGACCCAACATGCCTGGTAAGGGGGCACCTGGGGCGTGGTGACAAGCAACATGACAGGCAGGCCCTGCCCTCTTGGAACTTGGATTCTACTAGACTGCGTACCACATTACCAGTTCACACATCCGGGGGAGGAAACTGGGCCACAGTAAGGTAAGGCATGTGTGGCAAACCATGGGAAGAACTGCAGAGGCCACCCAGGCTTTGTGACTCAGCCTGGCATTATCACGGCTCCACAACCCCTCTGGGCACAGAGTTTGCTGGTGACCATTTCTGAAGTAAGGTCTCCATTCCTGCCTGCTGGGCTGGCGTGTCCTCAGGGCACGAGTTACAGGCAGGGAGGCGGTGCACCTGGGCACACGTGGCCGGGCTGCGGCTGATGGACGCTCCACAGGTCAAGAGTGGAGCTGTGGGCTGACTCCCCAGTGACAGGCGGAGGTGCAGGATGTGGGGGCGCCAGGAAAGGTGACGGGAGGGCACAACCTAGCCACCCGACCCCAAATCTAGCCCTGACTCTGAGGTGCTGTTTTCTGCCTGGTTACTGTGATCGTGCAGGTTAACACTGTAGAATATGGTATATGTCAATAAAGAGAAGAAACTGAGTGCTGGGTGTTTCCCGGGTAAAGCTGATTCTGCGACAGGACTCAGGTGTATTCGAAGTGAGGCTTCGTTCAGCTCAGGGAGATACTCAAGTGTCAAAGAAGCTGCCCCTGTGTGAATATCGTGTAGGGTTTTGTTTTTTCTTGCAAATCTCCCCCGACACAGTTTGATAAAGTTCTGACTCTAGAAACATGCCCATCAAGGTGCACAACATGTTCCATACCTCCAAAGCCCACATAAGTCAGACCGTGAAAATCTGGGCATGTGCTGAAGGAGAGAATGTGGAATAGAAGCACAGGCCTGACCCACACTGTCCCTCACCGAGCGCTCTCACCTGCCAGGGGGGCACTCGGCACAGACACCGCCCCGCCCTGCACCTGCGCATCCCGCAGACGCCACCCGTCTGCGCTCACCCACCGCCTGAGGCATGTTCTGTTTAGAAGTCGATCTACTGCCATTACCATGAGTTTTCCAAGGGCAGATATTATGTTTTATTTAGATCTGGATCCTGCTATACATTATACAATTAAAAAGCCAAGGATTTTTAAAAAGAGGCCATCGCATCGCAACAGTCTAGGCAAGACACAACGAAGGCCTCTGAATATCAGAGAGAAAATGGAGCAGGGGGAATGAAGCGCTGAGGCTGTCAGCAGTGACTGGCCTGGGACTGACTGGGTGGGGGGCGTGTGGGGATGGAGACAAGGGCTGAGAGGAAAAGGCCCTGGCCTCCAGTCTCAGTAAGGGCCTCCCGACAGGCAGCGGAATACCAGACAAGGGCGGGGCAGACGGTAAAGTCCATGCTGGGCTGGAGATGTGAAGGCAGCTCTGGAGCCTCCTCTAGAAGGCGGCGGTGGAAACGTGGGCGTGCCGGGAGGAAAGCTTCAGGGAGGAGCAGCACGTGAGGCCCGGAGGGGAGCAGGGAGCATCTAAGGCCAATGACAAGGACGCACAGGCCACAGGAAGACGCGGCAGGAGGCGGTGCACTGGAAGCCAGGGCAGCAAGGGGTGGGAGAATTTTCAGGAAGAAGTGATGTCCTCTCCCTGGCTGAAGAGAGGTCAAAATAGGCATGGCCATTTCCAGCAGCTGTGGCCTTGGATTTCCCGTGTTCCTCGTCTGCAATTTCACACCATGGTGGACACAGGTCCCTGCTGCAGTGGGGACAAGTGGTCCGGGCTGGAAGTGAAGACAGAGGAGGGGGCAGGTGGCAGCTGGAAGGCACACAGGGCAAGGGAAGGTGTCTTTGTAAGGATGGAAATGCTTGTGAATATGGGCAGGGGTGGGGAGAGACACCCAAGACAGAGAGAACTTTCGGGGAGCACAGCTCAGGGAGGGCAGGGGCCTCTGGTGCAGCACTGGGAACCCACTAACGAGCTGGAAGATGGGGGACAGTGGACGGAGTGGGCAGAGCCATGCGGGGTGTGGCCCTGAGAGCCACAGCAGGGGACTCGACCCCCATGGGGTTCGGCAGAGGGGCGGGGTACACGTGGCCGGCAGCCTCCACTGCCAGTGGAAGCGGGTCCAGGTGATTGGTTTGCTGGTTCCAATTGGCGATTCCAAAAGCCTCAAGGACAAAAGGAGCAGTGCGTGACAGTCACAGCTGGGAGCCAGAATAGTGACGAGGAGTGACAGGCCCACTGGTGCAGGATTCAGTGGGGACAATCTGCACAGGGGTGACAGCCAGGAGCAGGGGGACTCCACCGCCCCTCCCCCTACACGGGGTGTGCCCTAGGAGGAGCCCTTCCGTTCTGGTTTGTGGTCGACGGTTCAGTTAAACAAAATACGCAGAGCACTTAGGAAGAGGCTGGGGTTGCAGGAAGACTTTCTCCAGAAGATGAGGTAGAAAGAGTCAGGAGAGGTGACTAAAACCACGACAGCCCCACGGCTGCCCCTCATGTCACCAGTGTCCATCAGGCCAGCCTGGGCCTGTGTGCAAGGCGGGGAACGGCGCAGGATGGGGGTGAGGCAAGAGGACAGAGGCTCTGCAAGAGAGAGTGCCTCACCAAGGTCACACCGCCACTACAGCAGCATCAGGACTTGAACCCAGCCATGAACCAGAGAGTCAGACTCTCCCTACGGTAACACGCGTCTCTCATACAGGTGAAGTGGGGGAAGGAGTTCAGGCAAGGGTGAGCTGGGAGAGCCACAGACTGGGGGCGTCATGGCCCCTGGGTGGAGCACCGTCAGCCAGCACCCTAGACGGGCTGCACTCGCACCCTCGGCTGGTCACCTGTCTGGACAGTGCTGGGGTCGTTTTACTCCTAATGCCATCATCTCTCCCTCACTGGGAGTCTTGCATGGTCTGAAAGGGAGCTACAGACTCAGCAAAGACTGGGAGGGCACAGTGTGATGGTAACGGAGACCACCCCTTCTCAGTGAGCCGGCCCAGCCCTGCGGGTGCCAAGGGGCTGGCCAGGCAGCCTGCATTCTTAGCAGGACCTGCCAGCTCTCCAGCCCACCTGACTGGCCAGTGGCATGTTGGAAGGGCTGAGCCAATCTTTCCTGGGGATGCAGGAGAGTCCGGCGGGCCGCAGAGGGATAGGTGGAAATGCAGGGAGAGGGAGAGGCGGCAGGCAGAGAGTATGGCCCAGGAAGGACAGAGGCCAGGGGCCCAGGGGCCTGACTCCTGACAGTGCTCCTGTTTCACCAAGGTCTTTGTGTCATTAAAGTCAGCCTATACCCAGGGCACATAGGTCTCTGCTCTCTCCTCTCCAGCCATGCCCTGGCTTCCCCGCTCTGTCTCCTCTAGGCCAGCTGCTCCTCCAGCTGTGGGCAGGGGCCTCAACGCAGGGCAGCAGGGGCAGAGCTCATCCCTGCCACCCAGGCTGCAGCCTGCTCGGCCCTATACTCCCCACCCCAACTCATGGGACAGCAAGCTCTCCCAAGGGACCAGGCCGGCTCTGGGAGGCTCCTACCCACTTAAGGGCCTCGAGTCTCACCGGCTGCCCTAGTCTCCATCCCCCAGCAGCAACCGCACTGCCCGGATCTGGCCTGCCCTCCCTGGGCCCTCACTAGATGACATCTCCTGGGCTTTCACCACCCAGACCGTGTCCCCTGGAATGCCTGTGCCCACCTCATGCCAGGCTCCTCCCAGCCTCTGGTCTGGCTAATTCCCATGTATCTTTTAGTCTCAGCTCAGAATCACCAGGCAGCCCCCTCTTGCTGGCTGTCACTGCCTTCCCGCTGAGCAGGCACCCCTGTCCTCTGGCACCCGGAACAAGGCAGGCCTGTGGGTGTGCAGCCCTCGCCCAGTGTGGTATGATTTTCTGAGCCTTCTGAATATAAGGACAGAACATCACTCATCCTGGTGCCCTGAGAGCCCAGAAGGCACCTGGCATGTGGCAGACGTTCCATAAATACGTGGGAGGGGTGACTGAAGCGGAGGCGAGTGGTGACCTGGATCTGGGCTTTGACTCTGCCAGATCGTGCTGGGTGCACAGGGGTTTCCTGAGACGCACCTGTTTCTGATGTGATAGGCGTGACCGGCTTCCCCACCCAGCAAGCCTGTGCCAAGCCCGTGGCTCCTGTCAAGGGGAAGACCCCAGCTCCCTGCTGCAGGTGAGGGAGGGGCGGGAGTGTGGTCTTTGTAGCAGAGAGGCTATGTTTGCAATGTGGCCAGCCACGCTGCAGAACCAGAAACGCCAGCACCTGCACCCACTCTAACTGGTATTTTCATGTTCATAGCCGCGATGACGGATCCTGCCAGGAATTGGTGGGACAGGACTGAAATATTTGAACATGGAGATGGAGAGGCATTTGGAATATAAAGAACAAAGAGGAGGAGGATAAACTGTGTATTTGTCAAGAACATGAACCCTTAGGTAAAAAAAATTGGTGACCACGCTGGAGGGGCTGCGGTTGAGGCTAAAGGGCAGTGGGGCCGGAGGCTGGAGCCTTGGGAGCAGCTGAGGGCCCTGGCCAGATGGAGGCAGCCAGGCAAGGCGAAGCCAGCATGGCCGGGGAAGCAGCACGCAGAGGGCGCGCCCACCCACACAGCTGCTGGGCTTCTGCTCATTTGGCTACAACTCTTCGCAGGCCGCTGGCCATGTTTACCATTCGGACTCCCACAAAGAGGAGCCACTGAGGGAAGGTGGACCCAGTTCTCACAGAGGCAGAGACTCATTTAGGAAAGAGATAGCAAGGACACTTCATGCCGTGCGTGAAACTGGCAGACAGAAGGCCGGCACGGCCCGGAATGTGCCCACAGACTTCAGAGACTGCAGCAAAGACATTCCCAGAAATGCACAGATGATTCTATGGCATGTGGCTCTGGAATCAAACGCACC